TATGTCTCTTTGGGCTTGGTGTATTTATATCTTATGACCTATTTGATGTAGAACGTAGAAATTTGGAACACAACTAGATATTTTGAATATGAATTCACCAATGACAAATGTAGGGGGCATGGCACATTCGGGTTAAATTACTCATTTTTGGCAAAGGGCAAAACATAAATTTGTTTAAAATGAAACTGCATACAATTACCTCATCCTTCGAACCACTTGTCTTAGAAGTTTGGTTGTTCCAGCTTCATAGTTCCAAAAAGTGAACAGATTTCGGAAATTTAATAATTTTATTTTCTTGACCTTGACCAGTGTTTTTTAACAATATTTTTGCTTTTTGAACTGGGTGTATGTATATCTTATGACCTATTTGTTTTAGAAGCTTGGAATTCGGAACACGAGACATTTTGAATATGAATTAACCTATGACAAAAATTTGAGGTGGGCGTGGCACATTAGGGTTAAATTACTTATTATTTACATTTTTATCAGGTGTATAACATGCATAGAATACATTTGTTTAAGTCAGGACCTTGCACACAATTACCTCTCACTCTTGGCCAGTGTGTGTAAAAAGGTCAGTTGTTTCAGCTTCGTACTTCAAATAAAGGAAAAGGGTTTATAGTTTACATATTTTCAATTTTTGACCTTTACCTTTGATGACCTTGACCTTTGTAGGATGGCTAAAGATTAATACCTTCATATTTGATGTTCAACGTCAACTTCCGGTTTTATACCGTTTGTATTTTCAAAGGTTGGTGACTGATATATAGTGACATTGACCTTCCCTTAACAAGGTCAAAGGTCATTGACCTTGGCAATCTACTGACACTTTCATATTTGATGTCTGACTTCTACTTCCGACTTCACAACCTCCCAAAAGAGAATTATTCAAAAATGTGACTGCTTTAGCATGTGACCTAATAGGCCAAGAACGTTGATTTTTTCAAATTCTCTAGCAAATTGGCACATGTGCCAAGTCCCACTCAGTACCACGAGTGGTTTTAGTTTTTTTTTTTTTTTTGTTGAATGTTGATAACATATAGATTTTAATGCAGATTAGAATCTTTCATGTTGTGGCTTGATTTAGATTTTTTGTTTTTGTCTTTTTGGTGGTCTGACTATGGTCAGGGTCCATTTTTTAGCAGTTGAAAATAAAGTCGGCATATGCAGATGCCTCGTACATATTTCTGCCTTTGCAAAATCCGTAGCATAGCATATCTTCAAGAGCCCAATCAGGTACAAAGTTTTAGGACGTTAAGATTTTATATATTTACCGTATAATTGTGAATATAATGCGCTCTTCTCTAACCCTCAATTTTAAACCTCAATACATAAAAATATACGATATTTTGTATAGTTTCAGTTCACTTCTAGCGAAGAAAGCGGAACAAAACGTGATCCATTATAGAATTAAACCAGAGAAACTCATAGTTTATAATGCTCCTCGACCACGTGGATGTCGATATAGAGATAGAAGACCTCAATGTTTAAAAGATCTTCCGAATCAAACTGGACTTAAACAGTGTGGAAAGCCTGTGTGTTCTTGTTTTCCTCTGGAAGTCTTCGAGAAACAAACACCTGCTAGTTTTTTCGGGACATTCCCGCCAATAACGGAACCAATGTTATCCATCGAGAAAGAACTTCTAGAAGTTGAAGTTTTGGTGGACATTAACAAAACGTCAAGTGCTAATCTGGCAAAGTTGGTTCTAGTAGGTTCTTCAACAATTTTTAAGGTCGGTGATATCATCAACGTACGAGTTGATATGAAGGACGGAACCGGACGACAGCGGACCGTCGGTGCCGATTTCGTTCAAGTTTGGATGAAATCAGCTAAAGGTCCTAGGCGAGCAAGTAGTGCGGAAGTGGTAGATCTGAAAAACGGAAGTTATGTTGCTACGTTAAGAGCATTATGGGAAGGAGATTCAATAATCGTGGGAGCCTTGCCCTTTACAAGGGAGGCAAACGCTTTTAGTTTGCAATTAGGACGAGAATACAGATCTATCAATTTCCATCTTGGTCATTTTAAAAAAGCGAAACTGAAGGAATTTACTCTCTGTTCCATGTTTTCTGTTATCCCTGGATATAAACTTAGTTGTAATTTAACAAAGGTGAATTATGGTTATGGATGGTATTGTGGAAAACCGTTAAATGGTAACCTGACGTGTAATGATTTTGTTTTCGCTTACGACTTCAATAATGTTAATGTTCCTCTCACTTCAGCTCTATACAACTCTTTTGAAAGGTTTATTTTTGTTTATTTATTGTTGTTGTTGATAATCACTGTTTTCCCTATTACGGAAACATATCAAATGTATTTTTATAGTCTTTATGGCTATTAACATCAGGCCCGTAGCCAGGCATGGTTGTCCGTAGGGGAAATAATAAATCCAGTGTGACAATGGTGTATGGTGTTTACTTGAAGTAATTGAATTGGTTGGTTGTCAGAATTATTTTCAAAGGGTGGGAGGGGGGATGCATTGCTGAGAAACATCAGCACAATTTCCTTCCCGTTCGATAAAGTTTATCGTAAGTATGGTATTTCTCAATGCGAAATTCTAAATTTACAACACATTCTTACCTAGAATTTTTGTGGAATTCTACCCTGTCAAATATGCAATGTCTGAAAAATTCCATGATACTGTGAATACTTTAGTACAAGGAATTAAAGATATTTTACTTTATTTTTTAGACATGATAGAAAAATCATGATTTCATCCCAAATCAAGTTAAAAATAGAATCAGGTAATTATAGAAATGACCCCATGCTCTATTCGGTTGTTGAGTACAGCCCAGACTTTTTCTCATGGGTCTCGGTTTGCTTGATGAAAAAACATCTTTTTATGTATGTCAAAAACACCAAGGATTATTCCAATATTCTTCTTTCCTCCGCCTATATTAATGACATTAATCGACACTTTGACGTCCACATCGTCGATTAATGTCAAGCTGGCGACGCCAACTAACGTAAAGGGAACGATGTCAACTTATGTCAATATGGCTACGTAAGCTAACACCACGATGACGACGTTAACTTACTTACGCCAATATGGCGAAGATACACTTCAAAATGACGACGTCAACTAACGTCAATGATGGAGACGTCAACTAACATCAAGAGTTAGACGTCAACTAGCGTCACGATAGCGGCGTCATCAGCTAACGCCAATATCGTGACGTCAAGATGGCAACGTCAAATAACGTCATGGTGGTGACGTAAATTAACGTCATGGAGGCGACGTCATATGACGTTATGGTGGCCATGTTAAGTGTTGTTAAGATTTCACTGTTATCTGACGTTGACATCTTTTTGACATCATTATTTTTATTATGTATCAGTAGAGGTAATCTATCAAGTATCAATCTTTATTTTCAGGCCATACATCCCAGCCCCGGCCAAACACGATTAACTGTACCAAGCTATCCCGTCGTGAGACCTGGAACATGATACAACCCACTGGATATTTCAACGGAACAGTGTGGGAACATACAAAATGCCACAATCCTGTGAACAAGAAGAACTTTTTTAATTGTTTTAAGAACACAACTATGATAGCGTTTGGGGATTCGACCGTTCGTCAATACTACACTTATATACACAATGTCTTTAAATGTAAACAGACTACGGCGGTGTGGACGAATCGGAAGTGGTATAAGTCAACCCATTGTCAGGTTCCTCGATATAATTTTAGTCTCACATGGGCAGTTCAAGAATTTCCCTTTGTGGAGGGTTTGGTAGCACCAGATGGAAAAACGAACTCAAAACCGGCATCGGTTCTGTTGAACGAGGCACCGAGTACTGGACGTATGGTTTTCATCATTCATTACTACGCTCATTTTATGAGAATGCATTATTCATCTTTTATTGAGAGGATTCGATCTCTAAAAACACCAATCCGAAACGCCTTAAAGAGAAATAAGAACATACATATAGCAATCAAATCACCGCACGTATTTTATGTAACTAGTTGTTCAACACATTTCAGTATATATCACGGCAAGCTTTACATGGATATATTGAAAAGAGAACTGGCCGAATTTCATGATAAAGTATGGTTTTTAAATATCTGGGACATGAGTACAGCGTTCGAAAATAACAACATTCATCCGCCCGATGATTTTGTGTGGCAAAATTTGCGGTTGTTGGCAGGTTATGTGTGTAACAAATAATTTGTGTTATTTAAAGGGACATTTTGGGTGGTGGATTTGGTTTTGAATATATGTAAATAGCCTTCAGAAGTACTAGAAATGTACAAAAATTCCCTTATTCCTTCAAAAAGATTTCAAACTGGGAATTTTCAATTTTTATTTCTATATAATGTCTTTATATATATGGCATAGTCTTTAAAAAAGACGACTCTCAACTTTCAAACACGGATAACTCTGGACACACAAGAATTTCGACAGTGAGATGTGAACACTATTACTGTTTTGCTTAGCTGCGAAATTCCCGTTTCCCGTAGGTCAACCAGATGGCTAACCTGTCCCTTTAAAATCATTTTTAATTGAGAGGATTCGAGCTCTAAAAAAAACGCCTTACAGAGAAATAAAAACAAGCACCTTAAATACTCCAAAACAAATGAACACTCAACATTAGCATAAAGAACCATATGTCTTTTAACAGAAAAGATGGGACAATCTTTGTTAAAACTTAAGATTTCTGACAAGATCGAAGTCATACAAAGTGAAATCGACTTTAACCCTCTCCTGGATAAAATCAAAATTAAACTTGCACTTAACTAATTACAAATAATACTTACCCAGAAATCAATTATGTTTTTTTAATAGTATAATATCATCACCCAAATAAACACCAAATTAAA